CATGATCATTACCGCGGCAAGGGATCTCTTCAAGAGGGTCATCAACAAAGTCGGCCGTGCAACTTTCCGCTTCTACGACGTTACTCCAGTGGGGCGCTTGATGAACCGCCTCGTCTCTGATATTGGAATGATCGACGGCGGCATCATGAGACCGCTACGCGAAGTTGCTGTTCAGTCCATCACTTGGTTCTCAAGCATGGTCGTCATCGCCTCCGTCACACCACTCTTCCTCCTCTTCTCGGTTGGTATGACGCTCTGGTTCGTCTACATCTTTATGCGATTCCTGCCCACTTCTCAGAGTCTACGAAGACTCGAAATGGTCTCCCTCAGCCCTCTCATGTCTAACTTTGGTATCTTGCTCGACGGGCTGGCAACCATCCGCGCCTTCAAGGCCCAACACCACTTCCAGAACATGAACATTGTCGTCACGGATGCCTTCCAGAAGATGGATCACTTCTACTGGAGTCTTCAAGCCTGGCTCATGTACAGATTCGATGCCCTCTCCGCCATCTGTACCTTTGCTCTCACTCTGCTTGCGCTGTACAAGGGCCTCTCGCCCGGTTTGACCGCCTTCGTCTTGACGACTGCGTCCGCATTTGTCGAGGCAACACATAACCTCTGCAAGCAATACGGTACCCTGCAAATGGACTTTGTCTCAGTCGAGCGCGTGATTGAGCTTCTGGACATTCCCGAAGAGCCTTGCGGCGAACTGACGCCGCCCACGAGCTGGCCTCACCACTCGGACGACGTCATCTTTGATAACGTCACTTTGAGGTACGCACCTCACCTGGACCCTTCGATCTCGGAAGCCTCCTTCACTATCCCTGGGGGCTCCACTTGCGCGGTGCTCGGCAGGACGGGGTCTGGTAAGTCCACCCTGGCCCTCGCCCTCCTCGCGACCATTCACCCTTCCGAAGGCGCCATCCGCGTCGGAAACTACAAGCTGTCAGACGTAGACGTTCATGTGTGGCGGCAACGCGTCAGCTTCGTCGCGCAAGATCCTGTGCTCTTCCCCGGCACGCTGCGGGACAACCTCGACCCGCTACACCAGTACACCGATACCGAGTGCGTGGTCGTCCTCCACCGGGTCCTCGGCGCCGGGTGGGACCTGTACTCCCACGTCGAGGGCGGCGGGAAGAACCTGAGCCAGGGACAGCGGCAGCTCATCGGGATTGGCCGGGCCGTCCTCCGTAGGAGCCCTATTGTGGTGTTGGACGAGGCTACCGCGTCGATTGATAAGGAGACGGCGGCTAGGGTGCAGGAGGTGCTGAGGAATGAATTGACTACGAGCACCGTCGTTACGATTGCGCATCGGCTTGAGGCTGTTCAGGATGCAAACTACTTTATCCGCTTGGACAAGGGGAAGATTGTTGAGCATGGACCGGCGCAGGGGATTCATCAGTAAGGAGTTGGTAGTTTTTCTGCATTTTGTTTTCTGGTTGTTGTTTGTCCGGTACCATACTATAAAAGCTTCTATTGTCCCTGTTGTGGTTCGGGCTTTAGAGTACGTTTGAGAAGAAATGGCCACAATCCATGAGTTCCAATGAGTCCCCATGAGTCCAAAAACTGTCGACTTCGGTCTCGGGTTATAGAAAGCTCGCGATTGTAATGGTGATTAAGCCAGGTCTCATGTTTGCAGAGTATCTACGAAGTCGGGGCTTGGCTCAGCAACAGACGGTTGTATCGGCTCGAGGCTTTAGTCTTGAGGCCCCATAAGGCTTGGAAGAATACGACATTGAGGCTTGTGAGAGTCTGAGTGGACTGACTTGAATAACGCATTGCGGTATAGCCATCGCCCCCCATAAACTCCAGACGTGATCTGTGCAGGACACCCCTGCCATCCCATGTGTCAAAGTGATGAACCAGTCGGGTCCTCCCGAGTGCTGGGTGTGTACGAGGAGCCTTACGACTGGAACAGTCCATTTTGTCCGAACTCCTTCGCGGGTGGACTTAAGGAGTTGCATGGCCCCCATTTGCCTCTGTGAGAAATGCAGACGAATAGTTGGCATTTTGACACCTTTTACGGAGTCGTCCGTGTTCATTTGAAAGAGCTGCCGCTTAGCCGGCTTAGCCGCCGCCTCGCCTGGTCATCTCACGATGGTATACAACTCAGTATACTACGGAGTTTTAGGTTTTTCTTCGTTTTCGCTTGCCGCGCGCGGCCCCCCGAGTGGAAAATGTCTTGATGAGGCTCTCCCTCCGCCGGCACGGCCGGCCGAAAAGGCCACCGATTGTGGACGCGGGCTACGGGGAGGGCGAAAAGTGCGAAAAACTCTAAACCGGGGTTTGCGAACTTGCGTGAGTCGTGATCCCGGCACCACGCCAGTACGCCTCCTATTTTCAGACGCGTTGCTCCGCCACGACTGGATGAATTGCAATTAACTCAGTTCCAGCCTTTCGGTTCGCCAAGCGGGGGAAGAGAAGACGACTAGGTATCCGTAGCTAGGGGAGACGAAGGAAGTCAAACGGCTATTGTGTATTTAATTACACGATGGTTCCTCTGCCGATTGTAGTATTCTTCTTTTTTTCTCCCTCACCCTCATCAATCGCTTCGCTTTTGGATTTCCCAAATCGCATCGTCTCTCACTTGAGTCTCTCACTCTTTCGTGTTTGTTTTTCCCACACATTCTTTTTTCTTAACCAGTCACCACATTCTTTCTCTGTGATTTAACAAAACAACCCGCCAAAATGCACTTCAACAACGCCCTCATGGCCGCCGTCGCCGTCGCCGGCTCCGTCTCCGGCCTCGCCGTCCGCCAGACCCCCATCTGGCAGACCCTCCCCGCGACCCCGAACCTCCCCACCCCCATCTCCACGGCCAAGACGGCCATCAACGGCATCCAGATGTGGTTCCAGGAGTACAACAAGGCGGCCGGCGGCGTCCCCATCGTCATGGACCACGGCGGCCTCGGCTACTCTGCCTACTTTGGCTCCGTCATCTCCCGCCTCGTCTCCGCGGGCCACTACGTCATCGCCGTCGACCGCCGCGGCCACGGCCGCACGACGTACAACAAGGACGACGTCTTCACCTACGACCAGATGGCGCTCGACATCCACGACCTCCTCGCCGGCGCCGGCGTGTCCTCGTACAACGTCGTCGGCTGGTCTGATGGTGGCATCACCACTCTCGCGGCGCTCATCAACTCCGTCACGGCCAAGCCCATCAACAAGGCCTTCATTTTCGGCGCCTCGGCCAAGCCTGACCAGACCAACGCTACCTTCAGCGACACGGCCATCTTCTCTACTCTGGTCGCTCGCTGCAGGACCGAGTACGGCACCCTCCAGCCCGGAGCCAACTTCACCGAGTTCGCGACCAAGGTTGCCACCATGGAGGGTACTCTGCCGCAGTTCACCGATGCGCAGCTCAAGAGCATTCCTGGTGCCAAGGTCATGATTGCCGGCGCCGAGCACGAGGAGGCTGTCAACCGCGATGTCCCCGGTATCTTGAACAAGGCTATCCCCGGCAGCAAGGTTACCATCCTCACTGGTGTCAGCCACTTTGCGCCCATGCAGGACCCTGACCAGTTCACCAAAGCTGTTACCGACTTCTTCAAGGCATAAGGGAAGAGCCTTTTATCGGTTGTTTGTTTTGATTTTTACCTGTTCTTTTATTTATAGAGAGAAAGTCTCGGGACATGGGAGGCATTTGTGTTGTAGAAAAGCCCATCGGCGTAGCACTGATGAGATAGCTTGAATCCAACGACTGGAAGAACCTTCAATGTCCCAAATATAGGTCTAAATGTGGTATGCTGAAGAGATCCAAAATCAAGATATTGAGAAAAAAGCGTAGTCTATTGAAATCTGGCTTCGAGCTCGTTTTCCCACTCCATTCTCAAGAATCTGCTCCGAGCCGATTCAATTGAGATCTTCGGCTGAACACTATCCAATTTCATCAGGGTGTCTGCGAAGCAGTGGCCCGATCCAGCTGACGGATTCTTTCGTCAAAGCTCTCGTGATCTCTGAGGGCAAGAGATTGTCGAATAATTCGGAATACATGCCTCTCGGCCACGACTTCGCCCTGTGTCTCGGCTAGCCGAGCTGCCATTCGTAAAGTTTTGGACATACGAACATCTTGGCTTTCGAAGTCTGAGAGGATGTGGCAGAACTCCTGAAGTCGAGCATCATCAGACCCAGACCCAAACGAGCCAGGGAGCTCGTCAGACAGATGCTGTCTCCATAACCTTTGGGTCTTGCTCTCTGCCATGTCATCGTCGCTGAGAACCCATCCATCTTCGCAGTTGTTAACTAAGTCAACTGCATCGAGCAAAATACTGTCCACGTCCCTAAGGTTATCTGTCGTCAGGAAGACGACGCCTGGGTAAAGCAGGAGGGAGTCAAGGCAAATGCTATTGGGAGTGCCATCAATCCACCACAGAGTGTGTACTCTCTCAAGCAGGATGATCATGTCCCACAGTGACGCACATTCTGTATGGAATTGGAAACCATTGAAAGTTGGTTCTGGCTGAACTCGGCAGATAACCTTTTGTACATACTCTGCGATATCTTCAAAGGTGATTAGCCTTTTATTCATAAAAGTGAAGTTCTGGGACGATAGACTGACTATTCGCAATTTTACGAGTCGCACTTTGTGGTCCATGAAGCAATAGCAGCAAGCCTGCACTCCGCACGCCACGGCAGAGTCTTTGCAGCGCTCCCTTCCCTCTCGTGACCACGTGTTTCAGTATCAAAGACCGGAACAAGCCAGCATCGACATAGCGGGGAAACACGAGATCCGGTGTCCAATGAATTTCTCGGAGATTAGAGACGTTGAGGTCGCTGGCTAAGATATCCGAACCGAGAAGGAAGGCAGAAATGCGATTGCGACAAATGAGATAGAGCCAATCACTTCCTGAAAAACCACTTTGCTCTTTGTCGGCTTGCTCTTCATCAAGGCGCAGCAGTTTACTTGTATCGGGGTTAAATACTTCTGGCTGGAAGCTGCTCCATAGAGTGCGATTATCGATTACTACTCTTTCCATTGATTTTCTCTGGAGTAAAGGTCAGTGGATCAAGGTGAGACATTCTCTCTCTAAGGCAAAAGAGCGTACCTGCAAAAACCTCCAAGAATATTCTTGCACTTGTGGTTGTGAACTCTCCTCTGTCATGTTCCTCAAAAAGCCACCGAGCGCAACTGGGCCTTCGTACTCCCAAATCGTGGGATGATGAGAGCTGAGATATATGTAACGACGGCCAAGATCAATAAGCTTAGCCCGCAAGCTTTGTTGTTCAGGCTCTTGTATCATCTCCAAAGGAACGAAACCGATTTCCTCTGATTCCAGAGGCTTCAACCCGGTGAAGGGTCTGATTCGTCGTTGACTTGTAACAAGGTAAGACCCGACGTTTGGTATTTGCCGATGAACAACCTCCTCAACGGATAGAGAGATGCCGAGAGTTTGGTTGGATTCGCTGTGCTCGCACTGCACCTTTTTCACCTTGAGACATTGCTCATGAAACCAATTGCTGTCCGCCACGCGTCGCTTTTCGTAGATGATCGATCCGGGCTCAAATATTGTCCACACGTACCTTAGTCAAATGAAGCCATTCTGGTCTCGATTATGTGCTCTCTTTCCTTCTCTGCCTCTGGAAAAGTATATCTTATGAACCCCAAAAGTGCCTCTAATGAAACGACATCACGAGAACTTTGGCTCAGCGACTTCTTTGTTTCCAGTGCTTGTTGTTTGATCGCATCCTTCGCAAAATATAACATGTAGTAATCCTTGAAGTCGATAGCAGCTCGTCTTGAGAACTTTGACTGCCGAACTGATGATTGAAGCAGTAGTAGTGGTGGTTGTCCTGGTGGTGGTGGTGGTATTCTTAGTGCTGGTGCTGGTGCTGGCGGCGGAGGCATCGGAGGTCTTTGTTTTGCTTGTGTATTTGGCAACAGGGAAGCAAAGGTAGCGAATCCTGGTGGAATATAGGATGTTCTTGGGATTGGCAGAGGACCAGGTCGCTCACGAGGAAATATTCGGAACGCATTTCGGTTGCTGAAGGTGCTCTCGCTCCCTGCCTGGAGTGATGTTAGGTATGCATGTATGAATGCAAAGATACTGTCATTGTATTTGAAGATCAAAGTATCGCTTATTTTATCTCCAGAGTGAGTCAATTGCCGTCGGTGAATAATGGCTGTATCAAGGGTTCTTCCATCTTCTTCAAAAGTCGTCCATTCAGCCCAACCCTTTGAAGGTTTCTCCCATGATCGGCTACCAACTTGGGAAGCCTGAGAACTTTGGACTGAAGCATAGGTTTGGATTTCAGTTAATCGAGCAAAATTGGGAACGTCGTCTGGGTTTAAGGGCTCCTCCCTTTCGTATGCTTCTCTGCTTTCATTTCCAGCATTCAGTCCTGCAAGTCCCTCGCTGCTCGGGTCATTCCACGTTTGAGACGCACCTCTGATGATATATAGACCAAATAGATCCAGTGCTATCAGAATCAGTATCAGTGGAATCATGCAGATGTGTCCTGCCGGAGACCGGGCCGTGACTAGACTGCCGCAATGTATCCTGAAAATCTTTGAAGTACGATGGAGATTGCGTGGGGTCCATCTTTGAGAAGTCCTGGATGTTTGGATATTCAGATGCTTGGCGAGGATGGGAACTGAGTGTACGCTCCGTCACAGGTAGAGCTCAACTTGGGACGCGTTTAAAACGATGTTGCTGTGAAGCAGTAGTATGATCGCGGGGTAAAGTGGATGAATCGGCAAGAGCCGCCGCATCATTGTGACACTGTTTGTAACGAGCAGATTTGGGTTGAAATAAGTGAGGCTGAGAAGTGAGGGGTTTACTGCAAATCTGACTGGTTCGCTTGAGGTGCTTGCTCTCTCGTGTCAGCTGATGGTTGGGCTTGGGAAGACTCTGATTCATTCGATGAGGAGTTTCCGTTCTTCTCCTTAAATCATCGTTTATCGGCGAACGAAAACTATCATCTAGCTATGCCCGACTCTATGCCAACCATCGACCAAAATGCTCAAGCAAGTTGGGACGCTCGTCAAGACCAAAGGCTTGATATAGAGCTCGAAGACTATGACGATCCGACCCGAGGCACCAATGCGTTATCAAGACGGCTGGCGTTGATGGAAAAGATGAAGTTACTTCGTATTCCGCGCGATGATTCGAGCGGCCAAGTGCCGAACACTCGACAGTCCCCAACCGACAACAACAGCAAGGGAGAGTCATCAAGATTCGGGAGTCTCTCAAGCTGCAACATTGAGGATAAAATTGAGGCCCAACTTTGGTCTTTAGAAGCAAATCGACTTCTTGATAACATGGAAGACACCGAGAGCAGCCAAAGCTCTTCAAAGATTGCATCAATTGGCATGGTACCTGGCGGAATTACGGCCACTAGCTTCGATCAGCTCAAGTCTCTTGCCGACCGACTAATTTGCGCCCTCGCCATCTATGGTCTCAACGATCAAGATTCCCTTGCTGGCTTTGAATCTTCTTACAAAAGCCGGGACATGGTCATAATCTCGCATAGTCAAATGGTGCTGGAAGATCTAACGAGTGGGTCTAAGATGTCCAGAAAATTCAACATGGCTCGCAGAAATGAGCCTTCCGACTCAAGAGCAGAACAGGCTATGGATGTCTCGCAATCCGAGCTTCCGAGATTTTACGCCCTGATTGACTACATTACGGTCACATTGGCTAAAATAATGTCTTTCAACACCGAAGTGAAGGCCGGTTCCAGATTGGGATCTTTCTGGCATGCCATGATATTAACTGTGCTCGCCAAGTTGTCGGCTAAGATGAAAATTCTAGGGCACAACTTGCCAGGCTATGCTGTAGCAGCTCTTCGCAGAAAAAGGGACAGAATCCCCGACGTGAAGGTCAGGTATCGATGGCCTGATAAAGGAAAGATGAAAGTGTACGGTGTGGACTCTGACTCGAGATCTTCCTATGACTCCTACTTTGACCCTGACTCTGACTTCGAGACCGATCACGCGGACCGAGTTGAGTTAGCGGCTCTGCCGGCTCCAGATGGAACCATCAGACCGGAAGTTTTGAGTGCACACACCGATACATACGTATCTGACCTGACAGAGGTGTCTGCACTTCTGTTCCGGCTATTTTGGCGCATTATCTCTGACCTACGAACTCGAAATACCCACGGTCACCGAAAGGACGAATTCGATATCTCAACCCTGATTCGACCCGCTGAGGCCAGGCATTTTTCAACAATCTTGTATCAAGATAGAGGGGCTCAACTTACAGGTTCTTGGAGTAATGTGGCAATAGGTCAATGCCGAAATGCTCTGAACGTGCTCTTTGATACGGCAGCGTCCATTTCCGAGGCTCGTATCTCGGGCGATATCGAAAGACAAGTGCAATTACCGTCTGACGCACTGGATACTGCGATACCTCACCTCAACATCGTGGCCTCAAAGAACAGAAGTATCGAAGATTTGCCGATTTCATCGATGGACGATCTCATACGAGTCATGATTCCTCTTTCATGCATGGATCCAAGTCTAGCAGACTCTATCTTTCGGGCGTGCGTTGCCGTCAACGAATCCGATATGTTGGCCAAGATCCAAAGACAAGCGCGAAGCTACACCGCTCTGGTCAACTTGCGAAATGTTAGCAATATAGGACATGCTTCCAGAAGTTCAAGTCGATACCAGGGCAAAGCTTTGTCTCAAACCTCTTACTTCAAAGAAAACAAGTTGAGGCCTTACCCTATCCCATCTCCAGTGGTGTCGTCGCCCTGGTGGTCAGCAAATCCTGCTTACATATTCGGAACATCAAGTCATGTTCTCTCTGTCTCTCAGCAAAGTGTTTTTCTCGTTTCTAAGAATTGGGCAATAGAAGAAGTTGCTATCACCATTGGATGTTTGAGCTACACCATTTTCATCATGGCTGGCTGTTCTTTTCTTGTCTTTGGGGGCCTGCTCTCTGGATTTCTTATTGGCGAGCGTATTGCAGGCGTTGATCCTTTCAATCTGACGATGTTCTCTTGGATTATTGCCGGCTTCATCGTTCTCGTGGCCAAAAGTATTCGGGTAAGAGAGTGGCCCTGGCGGGACTTTCTTCTTGGTAGGGTTACATGTCGAAGTGTCCGCGAAATTGCGAACGTTACGGGCCTAGATGCTCAAGAGGTACTTGTATACCTCCTATCATCGGAAGCAAGGATCCCGTTGAGAAGTCGCGGCCCTTACAATAGCATTTTCACGTTCGTTGGCGACGGCGAAGGATTCTCGATCGATGTACAGCCGACTGTAGCCACAATGGTGTCTAGCGGAATACTGATCGTCAAGGTCATGTCTGATAACGACCCTGTTCTGATTTGTCTGGACTTGCGCCCCGAAGCAGGTCATCGGACTATCGACTCGCAACGACACAACCTACGAAAACAAGTGCCACACCAACAAAATCAAGCAATCTGGTGTCTTGCTTGCGCAAGTCCACCGAGAGATGACCGAGAGGCCGAACTTTCATTTCGAATGAGAAGGCTTCGGTGGAAGAAGGTTTTGGGGGTCTACGATGAAGAATGTCGTTTGGTTAGATAGATAGATGGTTTACCGGAGAAGCAACTATTCCGTTTGCTTAATCTGCTATCTGCTTCATTTAGCGAATAGCTATTCAACTTACCATGGGATCAATGGTAGAACCATGCTCGCCTAGGGATTGGACTGAATTACACTCGGCACTTATGTGTTTTCCACGAGCCAGCCGAGTAATTGTTTGCAATCACTTTGAGACTGCTCCAACTTATTCCTGATCTGAATAGCAGGTTATGTGACTCAGTAATTCGGGATTTAACCTTTGAACACAATTGGATGGGAAGTCTAATTCGACTGCGAGTCAAGGGCAGCACAGAGGCCAATTCGACTATCAACGAGACGTCAACTGTCCCTCCAAGCTACGGTTGGAATCTCCCTATTACATAAATACGCAGAACCAATCAATATGCAGCAATGGACCCTTCGTCTCTAAGAGCATATCGATTCGAACCAACTAGATACCCTGTGATAGGGATACCAACAGGCACTTTCAGAGAAGGTAGCCAGCGGCACCTCGTTCGTTAAACTTTATACCACAGTGCCTGTGAAAAGTGGTTTTGATTATTGACGATTACGAGTAGAGATAGCCCATGTTACAATTGGAGAAGAGTTGATCATTGATATTCGCTAGGCAGGAGGAACCCATGGAAATTCGCTCGCGTTGCTGCTGTTTGTCTCTTCAATGGATATTCATTCCAGACATAGGAGAAAAGAAAACGATTTCTAGATTCTCAAGCGCTTGTACCAATACTCCATATAGTCTAAAACAAATCTCAAGGAAGCAACTGACAAAAGCGAAAAAGTCAAAAGGTGAGCTAACGAAACCTCATTTGTTGTCGAGATCCGTCTCTTCAGAAAACAAGTCGACCAACGCTTCCTTGGCACGGCGAGATGTCTTCCTTCTCTTTCGCCTCTCGATCCAGAACCAGATCCCTGCAGGAACGAATGTAAGAAGCATCAATGGAAGAGTCACTTCTAGAAAGCGATCAAGGGCCACTCTCGAGAAAATTTCGCCGTTCTGATATTTGATAACATCTGTACTGAAGAAGGTCTAACAAGAAGTCAGAAATCCCCCAACATCAGCAATGTGAATCGTTCGATGACTAACACTTGAGAAGGTTGCGGGCAGATAAACCACAGTCACAATGGTGACTATTCGGACGGCAATGGCTTCTATCGCACTGCGATCGGCTTGGTCATACATACTAGCTGCAAGTCTTGACGAAATAATGGCACTTTGGGCCTGCAGATTCTGAATGAGCTGTAGGATATGATGCAGATGCGTTAGTTGAATCCGGGTTTCCAGGTGAAGCGGAAACTTGGGCATCACTCACCATCATCTTCCGTTCAGCGAGGACTTTCATCAATACTCGTGCCCTAGCGATTTGCATTTGCATTTCACAGATGAGCTCTTCTAGTTGAGAACAGAAGTTCTTTACTCCCTGTTGGCATGCACGCCGCTCCCTCTGAGGAAAATCGCTGTCCTTTAATAGATCTTTGTAGAATCTCTGAAGAAGCTTCAGAATATTAACATTCGATTCCATAGACATGACGGTGTCAGTTGTCTTTTCTTCCCATCTCTGAACCGAGCTGAGAGAACCGGGATCCAAAGTTTCGATGTGTGCCTTTTCTTTAACAAGTGTAGCTTTGAGGGTCTATCAAGGAACGAAATTAGTCAAACTTCCAGACCAAGCATGTTCGGAAATGCTTACCAAAATTTCGGCCCTCTCTTCAAGAAATCGAATGTTCCATCTCCATTCTGACGTTGCCCAAGATGCAAGAGCTAAGTGTACGTCCATGGATGACTTGAAACTTTGCTGAAACGTACTGAAGCTGGTTGGATAAACATGATTCTCAGGATAGAGCTCGCCGATGATCTTCTTGATAGATGAACGAGGGTCTCCGATGATCCATAGCTGTGTGTTCTGACCAATATCAAATTGATGATGAATGGCTGCTTGCCGGGTTTTCCAACCATCACTACCTTTGTCTACGGCGGTCTTGAGATTGTAACATAGCTGATATTGTCTGCCACTTCGGCCAAGCTCAGGCAGAATTGTTGCCGGTAACGGGTTTATGAGAGTTTTCTGCGTTCTAAATCCGCTGAAATGGAGTTCTTTGTCGTCGCCATGGAGAGATGCATAGACATAGAGAAAGTCCAAAAAGTGCAGCATGACCTGATAGAAGCTCAAGAGCTGGAAAAGCATCATTGCACTTATCTCCAATGGTCCTATTGCGCTCTCAGCGCACAGGAAGCTGTCTATGTTAGAGTTGAATTCACATCAAAGGGTGTTGCGTCTAATGATGAGTTCATGAGTCTGCTCCTCGCAAGTCGAAAAGTAAAAATGGGACTAACACAAATCGACAAGCCTCGTCTCCCTTGAAGTTAGATCGGACTACCGACGTATTGTCGTTGGCTGCAGCGTTTGATGAACCGCTGCAGAGAAAATCTCGGAGTTGTTCGTCGCTGTGAATTTTGCTTTTCTTCACTGAACCAGATGCGGATATATCTCGGAACGGAAGATAGTATCCCTTCTGGAGGTCTTTGGCAGTGAAGAGTTGATCCTTGCACTCCCACAGCCTCTTCCGGTGACGATCAAGCGCCGCTGTGCCGTAGGCAGCGGCAGACAGATGGTTCCGTGGATATTGATCATACGCGTTGTACGATGTCGTAAAACAGGTGGCAGTCGTCATCGTGACAGCTTGGAACGTAGAAAGCTACTGCAAGGCCTGTTTCTGTTGTCTGCATCGAGACTCAGACTTCGAGAAGGCCGTGTTAGTGCAAGGTAGGAGGATGATATGTCATGTCTTTTTGGGTGATGGGGACTATGCACATGAAGAAAATGTTCAAAGCCGCACATAAGGCATACACACTGGGCGCCCGGGCTTTTGAGCTGATTGGAACACATGGCTGCGTTTTGGTGGCTGTGCAGGATGCAGCCCCCGTCTCACCGAAGCCTACAAGAAGACTGGCATAGGGAGGCATTCTTATCATTATACCTAACAGCTAACCATGAGCGGCTTGAGAAGAGGCGGGTGACACAAATTACCTCAATCCAAGCCATGGAGAGGCTTTGTTTTGTACATTCAGTTTACCCGATTATGAGTTACATGTAAATAAAGCGAAAACATAACATAATCTCTTCACACGTACTACCATAATTGATAGCTGCCAACCCTTTTCCATTGAACGCCAAATCCACATTATTGCCTCCATTACCTCAATCAGAGAGTATCTAGTTGAAATTGAAGTCATCTGAGACCATTCCAGCGGGGTCAGGTGAGTTGTCTCGTTGGTCCCTGTCGTCAGGGCGAGCACGGAGGGTATCGATGGTCCTTTGCTCAGCCTACAGCACAGAGTCTGAGTCTCCGTCACTCAGAGGATTAAAGTTTAGAGTTCTACATACCTCACTCAACTCCCGTGGAACCCAAAAATAAAACTTATCTTCGTACATCTCCTATGAGTTGTCAGTATTGTCAGTGGGATGAATACTGCTGTACGAACTTGTCTTTCGTTAAGTCGTCGCCCGTCCGTTATTTGGTATAGGCCTATTAAATAGCGTCGAAGATCGGGCCATTTCAAGTTGTATGCCGAGACAGTTTGCTCAACCCAGCCGCGGGGTGACGGAGGTAACGTTGCTCTACGCGGAGGTGGCGGCGGCATCTCGTCATTACCTGATCTCCTCCAACTAAAAGCTTTCTTGATAGAAAACGAGGGATCGGTAGACATTGTGAAAACCGGAACTATCTTTCTCTATTTGGACCGAGCTAGCGCGCGAGTGGCAGTGAGGAGGCACAGTCTTTGAGAGGCAGGCTGTCAGACGAAAACTGCCCAGGGAGACGGAGGTGATGGGAGGGCCGACTTCGGTATTTGAAGGCAGGCTCGGGCAGAAAAACGGTAGTGGAGCAATGTGCTTTAAGCACCCTCCAGTTTAGAGAGGCCTGAGGAGGGGTATTAGACGAGAGCGAGACATATAGCATGCTGTGCCACCGGACAGGGCGATCAATTTGCGGTCCAGTCGTTGACCGACTTCACAAGGACGGCACAGGCTGCCGCGAGGCAGACAAGCCAGTGGCTTGATTGAATTGCCTCGACTGCCTGGGAAGACTGGCATATATTGCCTTCACACCCTCTTTTAGGACGAGCCGCACCCCAATTGCAAGGATATGAGGTGTGGTCAAAATGCATGTGCCTTACTTACACCCTCAGCCTGATTCTGACTTAATCTTACTGAGGCGGCTGCCCATCCCATCTGCGTTCTACATAGCCAGACCAGGCAGCAGATGAGGCGTCAAACTTTGCAAAAAAAAAAAAAAAAAAAAAAAAAAAACGAGGAGAAATCCGAGTTTGGGTTCGGATCTTCGTAACGTGGAACGAAAGATCATCCCAAGCTATTTTTGCCATGCCTCTGGTTGACATTCCGCTAGGCTGGGTATAGGGCTCTCCTCTTCGCCAGTCATTGGACAATGTGGTAATTAGGGGGCATTGACCAGTATTGGTGATACTCGATCTGAGGAGGTTCGGTTTTCTGGTCCGCGAACCTCTGTCAGGCTGTACTTGACGCACTGTGATGGCGCTTAACTCAGATGACGGCATATGTGGTATGCAGTCGGGGGCCTTTTCAACCCCTCTTTCTGTCCACCCTCTAGTTCAGCTTGTGTGTCGCCTAAGAGGAGACCTGGCTTGAGACTTCTCACCGGTCTCGAGAATGAGATCCAGTGTTAGCAGCTGGGTATTTATACCAAGCGCCATGCTAGCGTGAATGACTGCGGGTACATGTGGTTTGGGAAAGAGATGTATTTTTCTGCTTTTTTCACATAACCCTACGTCGTAATCCCATCCGGTAGGTCATTCATTGATCAAAGAAGCACGCGACATGCACGGAAAGCTAGGGGGTGGTCTCAGCCGCACATGGGAGGTTCCTAGTCCGAACAGTAATACTACGCCCTCTTTCTTCCAGTGGCAAGGCTCCCGGCGCTCTTAACAGTCTGCTGTTCTAAAATCTTACTTGTACGCACCTAAAACCTGACACTTTAATTCCTTGCCTAAATTTCTGGGGGTTCCCAGGAATCTTTCGTTTCATCATTGCTTTGCGCACTTTTGCGTGACGCTGAGGATTTGTCGCACGGAATAACTTACATCGTCCTCCTCTCCACTTTTCCCAATTTTACCACTATACTTCGTCTTTTGACGACATGAGTCGTGACAGTAAATCTGATTTCAAGCTTCAGTTTCAGATTGCATTGTCTGAATTTGATGACATACGACAGGACGAGACGAAAATCTCTGCATGTGGGCAAGAGTTTGTACTTGTAGACAATGTCACTAAAAGGTTGAAGAGTCGTTCTGCCACCTGTTCCACTCAGTAAGTCAACATACCCACTTCCTGGCACCCCCCTGTTTCTGGCACCACAAAAACGATGGGATCACAACCCAACCTCCTCATTACTATTAACTATTGATCCTCAACCACACCCACTACAATACAGCTGCCAGCCTCACTAGGGCATTCAGAGTCGCTGGATTCAGCCGTGATAACCTCCTTTTCACCCGCTTCGATTTGAGCCCGATGGATATCCCTGATGTTCGCGAACTTCGTATTGGGATCG